ATAATAGGAATCATGAAAATTTTTCCTATGGAAACACGAAGAATGTGCTCCAACCATCACCGGGATTCAAGGTGGTGAATGGCGAAATTGTCGAAGAGAAGAAGACGGACATGGAGAATATTTTGGCTACCTTCATGAATGAGACGAGAAATCGTTTCAACAAGGATGAGGAGAAATTGGACAAGATCGAGAATCATGTGACTCAACTGGCTACGACAATGGGAGCTCAAATGAAGAATTTGGAGACGCAAATTGGCCAACTGGCCAAAGTCGTAGGGAGTCAACACCAAAGGGGTCAATTCCCTAGCAATACGGAGTTGAATCCTAAGGAGCAATGTCAAGCCATCTGTCTAAGGAGTGGAACGGAGTACGAAGGCCCAAAGGTGCCGGAGGAGAAGGAGAGTGAGCCGAAGGGAAAGAGCGCTTGGAGCTAAGGGAAAAGGAAGAGGATGTTCGTGATGAATTGGAGAAAGAACCGATTGTCATGTCAAAAAAGAGGGCTGAGAAGCTTAAATCTACTTCTAACTCTAATTCTCATAAACATCCTGTTAATTTACCTTTTCCCCAAAGATTTCAAAAGAAGAATTTGGATGCTCAATTTGCTAAATTTTTAGATATATTCAAGAAAATTCATATAAATATTCCTTTTGCAGAAGCCTTGGAACAAATGCCAAATTATGCGAAATTCTTGAAGGATGTGATGTCCAAGAAGAGGCGAGTTGAGGATCATGAGATGGTGAATTTAACCGAGAAGTGTAGTGCGATCCTCCAATGCAAGATACCTCAGAAGGTTAAGGACCCCAGAAGCTTTACTGTGCCTTGCACAATCGGGAACATTTTATTTAGCAAAGCTTTATGTGATCTTGGTGCAAGTATTAATCTTATGCCTCTGTCGATTTTCAGGAAGTTAGGATTAGGAGAAGTGAAGCCATCTACGGTAACCTTGCAATTAGCGGATCGTTCGATAACATATCCTAAGGGGATTGTTGAGGATGTGCTTGTCAAGATTGATAAATTTATATTCCCAGTGGATTTCGTTGTGTTGGACATGGAGGAAGATAACGAGGTTCCATTGATTCTAGGAAGACCGTTTCTAGCAACGGGAGATGCCTTGATTGACGTCAAAAAGGGAGAACTTACTTTGCGTGTTAATGATGAGCAAGTGTTATTTTCTATATACAAGGCTATGAAATTTCATGATAATAATGCGCATTGTAATTTTCTTGATACTATAGATTCATGCATCTTGTCACATCTTGATCATACATTGTCTAGAGATTCTTTGGAATATGGAATGATTAAGTCTTGTTATCCTAAAGATTCGATACTTGAATTGAATGGCTCTAACTTATACGAATATGTGTTTTCTTTGGATTCTACGCAGGAGGAAAGCATGT